TCACACGTCCTGATCGTTAATTTTTTGGGTTGGGTAGGGATAGATGAGTCAGTGACAGATGTTCCCTTTTGACATCTATTGCCAGTCCCACGCAAACACTTAGCGACAAGACATGGACAGCAACAACCATGTGGCCAGGTCCTGCAAGCAAGCAAGCAAGCATGCATGCAAGCAACCGACAGAGGTAGACGGGTTCGAAGGGTAGAGTGAAAATGCCAGATTACCTTGTTACAGAGCATTCTCATGACCCATGAATTGTTCATTGTGCTGGGTAGGTTGTCGACCCGTGGAATCTGCGACACCTGGCGCAACTGACCAACAGACGCATTCCTTGGCATTTGAAACAGAATGCGCTCTCAGCGGGCCGCCGGGCGGGCCGCCGGGCGGGCCGGTTGATCTCGCTGAGTGCTCTACCATCAAGTCTGGCCGGCGCAAGGGACCTTCCACGAGGCCCGGGACCTTTCACAACTCCCACAGCTTCCTCAGCTACTAGTGGCTGGTGCAAACCCACCATGCAAGTATTTGGTACCCATACCAGGTTTACACTATTTTCGAGATGTTGGCCTGCAACCAGACCCCATCATCCACTATTGGCATGGGGACATGCCCAACAAGGGAGACACCAACTCGGTCGTCCTAGCTCGGCTTCTCTCAGGTTGCCACGAAGCTGCGTCGCCGGTTGCACGAAGCGTTTTAATCTTGGCGTCCTTTCGGGAGGAAGAGAGGACGTGGCACGGAGACCGGTTTTTCGGGAGTGACGGAGTGATGGGGACCATTCGAGAAGCGAGAAAGAAAGGATGGGGCCTCAATGTGTATAGCGTGTGATCAGGGTGTGCCCTTGTTTGAAGGGTGAGAAAGAGAGAGACACACACACACACACACACCAACCCTTGAAGTTTCCAAGGACATCAGTAAACGAAGAACTCGCACCACTCACTCTAAGAAGGTTACGATTGGATGAATGGTCACAGTCCAATTTGTGGGAGTTAACATGGGACCTTCAAGATATGCTGAGCCACAGGGCCCACGGTAAAGATCGTTGGAATCTTCAGATGGCCCGTGCGGTGTACGCTTAGCACTCTGGAGGTTAGACGTGACAAATGCTGCATCCAGGCGCGGTGAGCAAGTTTTGAGGGACCCCCCCCATCTCTTGCTGTTCCGATTCGTGGCCTTTCTGCTGCAGCATGGACACCGCTCTGTCCTGGGAGAGGAGGGAGGGAGGTTCGGAGGGAGGAAGAGGTTCTTCCACCACCTGGTGGCTTGATGGAAGCTTCCCAAAGCCCCTTGGAAACAACATCTTGCAGGGCAGAACTGGAAAATAGTGCTCACTTCCACCCATCTTCCAGGAGTTCATCCACTCCCATAACCATCTGAGAGCTCTCACCACGTCCCTGTCCCGCGACTGAAACCAACCCCCCCGCCTCGTCTGCCCGAGGGGCGCTCATCGAGCGATGCCTGGAGTGCCCCGCGCTCCAAGAGCTGCCGAAGGCCTCGGCCAGCGCCGAGCTGCTGCGCGCGCTGGCGCCCGAGGTCTCGCACGTGGAGGCCGGTGGACCGGGGGGGAGCAGGGCCGTGAGGCCATCGAGCTCGGTGGGTTTCTGTTTGGGAGAGGACTTTAGAAGTCTTGGAGTGGAGCAATCTTAAGTCGGACCTGGTGAAGCTGAGTGGATCATGAGAGGAACCATGTTCCTTCAAAAGCTGGAAGCTGCGAGGACATTTTCGGTGCTTTTTGAGGCGGAGGATCTTCACTGCCTGGGGAAGATGATCTTGAGCGTCCCAGTGGATCCACATAGCCTCGCAAGTAGGTGGGCATTGGAAAAAAAGGGCCATCCTGAGCCTGAGATGGACCCGATACAAACATACACGTGCCAGTTTACATCATTTTAACTACCATCTCAAATCATCTCCGCTCAAACCTAATGTAATCTTGTAAATGCCACTGCATGTGGGACGTCACACTTTGAGAGAAGAAAACCCAAACTGAGTCCATGCTTCATGCCTCCCATTGGTCTTTCGCAACGCAGGCCATATCCGAGAAGGCTGCTCAGGCAGGCGGCTGCGACGAGCTTGTGGAGCTTGTGGTCCGCTCGGGCCTCACTGGGGCCTCCGGATCCCTGTCACCCTAAGAATCCGGGCTCTCAGCTAGTTCTAGGGTTTTGAAGGAGGGTCCGACCCCTACTATGGAGGAGGGTCCAAGGATTCTTAGGGCAGAAGGATTGAAAGGCCTTTGTGCAGGAGAACATGCAGGAGGATGGGACTTCCCATTGATTTGCCATACCTCTGCCCTAACTAACTCGGGATAACTCGAGCTCTTTCAAGAAGCCTAAGCGAACCCTTCGATCCATCCTGAGAGAGGACTTCTCAGGACGACAAGGGATTTCGGACAGGTCCGGTCCGACCGCAGAGGCAAAACCGGATCAGGATCAGGTGGCTGGAGTCGTCAGGTGGCCTTTTGCGTCGTCCCTGCGGAGGTGCTTTCGGGTTTTCAGCAGAAGTACCAAAGCATGCTCATGGAGCACCACGAGAAGTTCCATGGGCAGTCGCTTGGAAGTGTAGCGGTGTTTTGGACTTCTGCACCATGGCATCGGCTTTGTAGAGCAACCACTGGGCTTGCAGGGTGGTGTATTTGGATGTTCCTTTGTGACAGGGTGCTGATGCAACAGGTTGATGCAAGTCGGTTCGGTTCATTTTGGGCCGTCGGCCCTCGTCTTCGGTCCCGGGGCATCCAGATAGATGGGGTGCGGATGAAGAGCTGGATTTGATGATGGATCCCGGAGCCGATCCCATGGAAGTGATCTAGAATCTAGAGATGTCCAACGAGGCTCAAGAAGGTGGATCTAGATTGAAGGGACGAGCAGCACATGAGATATCATGAGATCAAGCGGATTCTTTCTTATTTTTCTTGCTAACTTGCTAAGATTATATCTATATATATATATTTTTTTCTCCTCATTATCAAGATGATGCTGGCAAACTTTTCTTCACTCGCGCCCCCTTTAAAAGGCCGTCCTTTCGTCTTGATCTCTTCCTTCTTCTCAGCCAAGCCTAAGGCAGTTGAGGGAACTTGAACTGTGGTCCAAGAATAAAAACATCCAGGAGACACCGTGGAGCACCGCACTGGACCGGACCGGACCACTTCGGGTGGCCTTCCTCGGTGAGCACGCCAAGGGGACGGGACGCCCAGCCCGCCTGGCGTGGCTGGAGGTCATGCATTGGGCCATTTTGGGGTGACCAAGGAGTCTGGGTATACCCTGTTCTTTTTAAGGAGTTTTTTAAGGGTCCGACAGCGCGAGCCACGGTTTTTCGGAGCGGCTGGGTCGACCTTTTCTGGCTGCTTAGCTTGGGTCAGGCAATCTGCGCTAGCGATTGGATACTGGACTTTTCTATGATGTGAATCCGAAAATGACAGTCTACCCATTTGACCGGCAGGCGTGTTTGACCGGGCTCTTTCGCCACGCGCGAACCACTTGGGGTGGCGTCGCAGAAACACACGAGCACCGCTTCGACGCTCCGTGCCGCGTGCGGCCAGGAGCGTCGCCGGCAGCTTTGGGAACAGTGTGGTGCGCGAAAGGCGCAGCTCGCGGAAGAGCTGGAGGATTTCACCTGGTCCGCGTGGTGAGTCGCGAGCTGCGGCGATCTGCGTGGAGCACAATAGACCCGCAGCTCTCGCTGCGGTGATTCTCGGGTGCTGCGCTCGATGTCGGTGCAAAAAGAGAGGAGGGGGCGACCTGGAAGAGGCCTTCTGCGCAGCTTGCGCATGTGAAAACAGGTTGGCCACATTTGACCACCAGGACTCCAAAATCGAACAGACAGGGAGTTCACTCAAGTGTGTGGCCACTAGATGTAGTATAGATGTTCCATGCCCTAGGCACCGTTCGAATCACCAGAGCTGTCCGTTCCAGCTGGACCGGAGGTCGGACCCGATCTTGAACATGTCACATGCGGTGGGCACATACTTCTCGACCCCGAAAGAGGCCGAAGATGGTGAAGGGGCTTGATTGGGTGTTGCAAGGTGTCCTACAAGAAAGGCGGAGAGTCCATGCAAACAAATCAAACAAGCATTTTGAGTGTGTTCACTCCGAGCTGGGGTTGGGCACCCCAATCAGATTACTGTAATCAGAGGGTCGTGGTTTATGTTGCCAAGAAGGAATTCGGGTTTTCTTTCTTTCAAGTAAACATGTGGGGCACACCCCTCATCATGGAACACACACACACACACTCGAGATAATGCGTACGGAACTGATCGCCCCAAGCCCCTGAAGAAGCCTAAGTGAAAAAATTGCCTGGGTAAAGCAGGTTGTATGTAAAGCTTGATCATCTCAAAGCCTCCAAACCTCCACAGCCTGAAGCTCGTACATCTCAAAGGCGGCGAATGCGTGACTGCCGTGAAGGAATCGCTGCGATGGCCAGAGGTTTGTTCTAGCTAGAAAGGGGCCCAGAAGGAAATGAGTGGTGATCATCTTCTCGCAGGTGCGTGCGATCTGCGTCCAGATTGCATATCACGGCAAAAGCTTGAAGTGTCTTCGTTGAGCAGTGACTTCAAGAATGCCCACCGCTCCCCTGCTAAAGGTTAAACTTATTTCTTCCAAGAATGCAAGTAAGGTGTACAAATCAATGGACTTTCTGTGATCACACACGCGCACATGTCAGAAGCGACGCCTGGCAGCTGTTGCTATTGGCTTCGCTCTGCCGATCTCGGTGCTGGCTGAGCCGTTGGGCTCTAATGCTTGGTTCCCTGACTGGGCTGGCTTTATGGATCTTGGGAGTAGATGAGATTGGTCAAGGCCTCCAAAACCACCCCTAAACCCAATTTTTAACAGTTACTTCACCAGCGCGGCAGTCATGACCTCACCCAACTTTGGCTGTTAAAACTTGGCCTCCCAAGACCCATGCGCTTTTTCAGATCATTGCAATTTGTCCTGCTATTGTTTGTTGCGTATCCCGATGCGCAACTTGACTTTTATATGGATAATATCAGTATAAGAGAAACATTTTGATTCCTCAGCCCTCACAAGACATGCTGCAGCTCCATCGTGCTACGGTTTTTGGGCGCCCGCGCCCTCGCGCGGGAAGTGGCCTTGGCCGGTCGGGAGGCTCAGAGCTTATACTTAGAGATTGGCACTTGAAATTAAAGTCCGTGAAATTGTGGCTTTGAGGTCGTGGGCCACCCCGCCGCCTTAAAGGAGATTTCAAACGTATGAGCAAGTCAATGTTTTTTGTTTTTGTTGGTGTTTTCGCCTGTATTTCAACACATTGTATCTCTACACCAGTATCTCCACACCTGACACCTGTACCTCTACACCACTCTATCTCCGCACCTAAATGCATCTCAATGTCAATGCCTGTATCAAACACCTGTATCGATGCAGGTGTACACGGTAGGTGGTAGCAGTTGTTTTCGTTGTTAGTTATCGTGGTAATAGAAAAATTGTTGTTCATTGTTGTGCATTGCGGCAAGGGGAGTAGCAGGAACAGCAACAGCAGGAGGGGCCTAGTTATAGTAGTCTTGGTCATTGTAGTCAATTTTGCCGCCATGGGGTAGGTGAAGTAGTAGATGGCAGCGGCAGTGAGTTGGTGAGGAACCCCGTAGGGTTTCTACACCTTCAGCGTTTCCGAAGCTTGGTGTTCGATGTCTTCCCGGCCACATACTCATAGTTTCTTGCGCCTTTTTGCATGAGCACCTGGTGGGCCACCCCATTTCCCGATAGCCACAGCAAACTTGGATGCCTTTTTAGTCAACTCTTTTGGTGCCATTCTTTTTTTCCGGGTTGGACTTTGTTTTGTGCCAAGGTTGTGTCAACGTGGTTACCTTGTGGATTGCAGCAAGGCCGAAGACAGACATGGGGGCAGAAAATGGAGGGAGATGCCAAGAGAAAGGGCAGCCATGTTCGGCAACCAGGACCCCAAAACCATGCAAACCGCTGTTGCAGTGTTGCAGTTTCTTTGCACCATATCGGATCTCATGTTCGGATTTTGCGGTCGCGCTCTGGGCGCGAGTCCAGATTTTGGGCGCGGCCACCCCATGTTCCTGGTTGAACATGGGTTGCATCTGAAACTTGCGGCAGAGAGAAAGACCATCTTTGGTTGGATGTTTATAGACCAACACCTACACAACATCACACAACCAAAATGAAATGAAGCGCTTTCCAATTCACGTGTCGACGACAAGTCTCACGTGTGCAAAGTCATCCTACATACTCCCACTATAGTTACACAATGTTACACACCTGGTAACTTGTCACCTCCCCACTGGCGCACGAGCACTCGCTTGGGTTTGGCGCAGCCGCTCCGCTCCGCCCAGATCTATTTGGACCGCTCCAGTTCGGGTGGCTTCGTGAGCCGCGCGCGTGCGAAGATCCGGAGGGGCGAGACGCTGGAGCTCGGCGTGGTGCGGCTGCTGCCGGTGGAGGGGCGCCGTGGCGGGGACGGCCGGGGAGACCGGGTGAGGGAGTGAGGAGCTGCGGCTCAAACACCCGTTGTGTTTGGCTTTGGTTGGGGATTTGCATAAACTCGTGGGAATGGAGACATTTGCGTTTGGACAGTCTGAATTTTCTGAACAGTGGATCTGAGATTTCTGCAGGAGGGTCATGTTTTTCAAGATGGAACCTTTGTCTTTAAGGAGCCGATGCCCTTTGGTGCTGCCATGGAGTGGCTCGCGATGGGCCAGTGGATCCTTGTCAGCTGGCAAACGGGGAAACTGTTGGTGGTGGAGCCCAGAAGTGCTCTGATGTGATGATGTCCGTTTCGGTCGGAAGCACTTCTGGGCCCAACAGTTCGTTCGTTCCTGCCGGCGGTGGCCGGGCAAGCGAGTTGGACAGGATTTGGGAGGGGGAACGGCTCGGTCCCAAACAGGGTGGGAACGGCTCGGTCCGCGAGCATGTGGACCCTTCGCCGCACTGAGAGGATGCCGCTGCCCTGGCAAAATCCGCTAAACGGAAGAGCCAGGGTGTGACCCCCATGAAACGGAGAGCCATGGAGAAGCTATACACAAGACTGGGTAGCGGTAGGGATGGGGCCACCTGTTGAGCCACTGACCATGTACTAGCTTACAGCAGGGCAAATTGGAAGAATTCCTCCGGTCAGCCGTCAGCCTCGAGCGTCCACCCGTCGACCGGATCCGCGGGTCGCTTCAGGGAGCGGCTGCCTGCAGTTCTACCACGCCACATCGCAGCCAGAGGAGGCCGAGTCGTTGGGGCGACGGCTCGAGTCGTTGGGGCGACGGCTCGAGTATATGTGTTGAAGTGGTAGGCAAACTGGAAGAGGACCCATCGACAACCCGGGAGACGAAGAGTCTTGAAAGGGGCTTTTTCTGTTCGATCACAAGTGGCCTGCTCAACTCCACGAGATGACGCCGAGCAGCTAGTCCGCTTGAGGAGTTTGTTCGCCAAGTGGTGCAAAGCTGATGATGCTGATAGCAAAATAGGGCAACAAGGTCCCAAGTATAGACAAGAAAGGGAAGTCCTTGCTCTTGTTTTATCATGTTCTATCCGTGTCTTTGGGGCACTGCACGCCGCCACATTGTTGTCTGTTCAAAGAAATGAGGACTGCCCACGTGCCTGGGCTGGCAACCCCTACCAATCAACCCCTACCAATCATGAAACGCGAGTCAGTCCTTGCTGACATGCATTTCCCCGCCAGAACCACGAGCGGCACGCACGCCCTTCATCCCTGATTGGGTCATACAGTATTTGGTTTGCGGCCGAAATTCCTGAGTTACGGCTCTGTAGGTCTCCACTCGTGCAGATCCCTGATTTCTGCACTTTGGAGGACCAGTGTGTCCGAAGACCAAGCAGGGGGTTGTCCACTTCCATGTTTGTTGAAGGTAGGGTAGACCCCTTGGAGTTTGACCAATTGGTCTCCGACAAAACTGATCTATGAGTCCACATGTTTGTTGAAGGGTTTTGCTCCACAAACTTCGAAGCCTCCGACTCAAGGCTTCTGCCAAGGTGGTGCCCACCGGGGAGGCGTCGCGCCATCGGGGAGAGACCGGGGGGATGGTCCACCGGGCCGGGTAGCGAGCGATCCGTCGACTTGAGTAGATGTTTGGATCCCATCCATGTGCCATTTGTGATCTCTATTGCTAATATGTGCACTTCCGTGACCACCACCTCCCAGCTTTGGATAGCTTTGGATGGTTTGATTGGCGCCTCGACATCACCAGTTTCCGCTTCCCCATGAGTTATTCACCCATGGCGTCCCACAAGGGTGTCACAAGTGAACGACGGCTCGGTCAAACGAGGGCCAAAACCATACAGTGCAGATGTTTATTCCTCAAACCTTGATGGCTTTCCGAAGTGTTTACGAACTTGATGATTCAGGAGTGTCTAATCTCCGTGAGGGTCGAACAAAGTTGATCATTCTTGGTTGGTTTTAAACCTTTGTTTTCTCGCAGGTTGTTTAGTTGACTGGTGGTCGCACGAGAGGCATTTGCTTTGAGTGCAGGAACAGTTCGTCGTCATTGCCTTGCGAGATATCGAGCCCCATGAAGAACTGGTGCGATTGGACGAGACCCTCCATTCCAGAGGCCTTTGGACGGGTGGCTGGTATTTTTTGTTTGCTATTCTTATAAAAACTTTCATTGGAAAGAGCCTGTTTTCTAAATTTAAAAAGTCAAAAAAGATCAAAAAAGTCAAAAAACAGTCACATCAGAAAATTTCAGAAAGTCAAAAAGTCAATTTGCCCAGATCCGACTTTTTTTGACCTTCTTTTTAAAACATTTTTTCGACTTGTTTTTGATATTTTTTCGACTTTTTTCGACGGTTTTTTCGACTTTTTTTTAAACGTTTTCGAGTGGTTGATTTTTTTTGACGTTTTCTTTTTTGACTTTTTCGAGTTGTTTTTTAAATTTGACGTTTGTTTTTTGATGTTTTCTTTTTTTTTTAAAAAAAAACTTTTTCGAGCTGTGGTCTATGGTTGACTTGTTTTTTGAATCTTTTGATGTTATTTTTTTGGACTTTTTCTTCGACTTTTCGATTTGATTTTTTTTTGACTTTGACTTTTCCAGTTGACTTTTTTCTGACTTTTTTAAATCAAGGATTCTGGCCTTACCATATGAAAGCTTTTTATAACGCTATATATTCATTCCTTTTGGCTGCACCCCACATGGTTTGACAAAAAATCATGTCGAGTCATGGGTGCTCTTGACCGACCATGTCGACGCAAGATGCCGACCCGCCGACCTTTCGATGGCTGTACCCTGAGGTTTTCCGGCTCCCCGGCAGATGTACATCTCTTGCAAATATTGTATACCATACCACCAAATATACCAATATAATCCAAAATGTATTTTTTCCTCTCTCTCTCTATATGTTATATATATATATATGTTTGCAATATACTCATACTCTATACGTTTGAAATAGATTTACCATGATTCGTTCGATGTGACCTTAGCTATCCGATTACCCCGCCATTCAGTTGGCAGGCGGTCACTGGCCACGAAAAGCCATGAAGAAGACTTATTTGTTGAGGGCGGGGGTCCATAGGTCAACGCACATGGAATAGAAGACCCTTCGGCTCAACTTGTTGAGTTCAAGATTCACAATGAATTGATGATTTCAATTGGCCATTTCATCATAAGGAAGCCTGTCACTTTCATGCTTTGTGGGACCCCAGATGCTCTGACTAGCCTTGCGGGGCAGGGCAGGGCCTTTTGCGATTAGGCCGCGGGGTATTGATGCCAAAGTGCAGCGCCCACACAAGCCATGGATGGAACAATGTAGATTGTTACTGTTGAGCACCAAAACCAGATTAAAAAAGAACAAACACACACACACACATGAACTTACGGCCCCGTAGATTAAGACGAGGTAGGTTGACTGGTTTCTTCCGAAGGGTTTGGGCTCTCAGCTGTTGATGAACCCTTGTTCCCAGTGTGGGGTTCGAACGGGAGAGCCGGACTTCGTGTGTACCTTCTGCCGTGTGCGCACCCGCTGGTGGACGACGGTAGATTCGTTGCCGATTGGACTGCGTGGCTGGTGCATTAGTAACATCAGGATTTGGACAGGCATAGTTCAGGAGGAGATCGACAGATTTGAGGAGATTGAGAAGGCAAAGGCATCAGTCACCGCGACCGCAACTTCCAAGTCGGCAAGCCCAGTGGTGCGTGGCGATACTCCCACCAAGGGGAGTAAAGAGGAGGCGGCAGATAGGCCGGACAAGACCTGGATAGCTCCCAAGAAGGAAGGAGACAAGCCCAGAAGCCCTAAAGGAGCTCCCGGAGTGGAGGAAATAGATTCCCCGGCAGAAGAAGGAAAGCATTCCAGCGGATCAAGGCAGCACAAGGAGGAAAAGACCCCGAGGAAGAGAAGCAGGAGTGAGAGGAAGCGAGACAGATCAAGGAGCAAGAGATCCCGACACAGGCGAAGGAGAAGTTCGTCAAGAAGGTCACGACATCCAAAGGAGGACAGGGACAAGAAGAGAGAGCATTCCGAGAAAGGAAAGGAAAAGAAGGCAAAGCCATCAGTCAGGCCGCCAAGAACGCCATCTAGATCTCCGCCTGGAGACCGGGGAGGCCCTCCTCCTAAGCATCCACCAGTGGAGCGACGAGGTGGACCACCAGATCCAGTTGCTCGACCTACAGGCAGAGCTTGGAGCGGAACGTTCAAGGCTTGGCAGAAAGCACCCCAGTACTGGGGAGTCAACAAAGGTGTGAAGAAGAAGGAGAATCAATACTACTACAGGAGGTAGTGAGGATTCCATCAAGGCTTCAATGGCCTTGAGAAGACCGGCAGCAAGAGTGCGTCGGGAGAGAGGAGCAGAGGAAAGACCTCCTATAGAAAGGGGAGGAAGAGTGCGCCGACGTCCTGCTGGCGCTGAGCCAGGAGGCGCAAGTGAAGAGAGGGGCCGCAGAGTGGAAGACGGAAGGCTTTTTGAAGAGGGGCAGACTATACAATGTCAGGCCGTCCCTTTGGAGATGCTTCGAAAGAGACTCCCCGTAGAGATCAAGGGGCGTTATTGGGGCAGCGCTGCAGAGATCTCAGGGCTTGTGAAAGGCTTCCAAGTCCGGGGAAAGGAGGACATAGAGGTCGAAGTGGAACTTCAGGGCACTACGACCGAACCCATCTTGAGGTGGGCGTCGGGCACAGTCGACAAGGTCATGAGGATTCACATGTGCGGGGCTCGTTGCGAAGCTATGCTGGACGCCGAGAACCTCCTGCATGGGGAGGAGATCAAGATGAGGAAAGGAGAGGACCCTGCCTGGGCTATGAACCTGGTCGACGAAGGGCATCCAGGTGGACAGAAGGCGGGGGAAATAGCGACAGGGGAAGATCAAGCAAAGGAGATGGGAGAAAAGAAGGAGGCGGAGAGAGGAAGGAGTCGAGAAAAAGAGAGGAAGAAGAAGAAGCGGAAGAAGGGGAGATCGTCCGGCGAGGCTCACTCTCCCAAGGGCGAAGACAAAAAGAAAATGTCCATTCGTGCGATGGCCCGGAAGAGTCTCAAGAGTGTCTTCGAGGGTACGGGCATGGACCCAAATCCGAAGGTGAGGAGAAAGATTACAGCAAAGGCCTCGAGGAGAGCAAAGAAGAAGAAGAAGAGTTCGTCCGAGAGCTCATCCACGGAGGCGAGCAGCGAGTCGACCGACGAGGAGAGTGGCGAACTTTTCGAGGAAACACAGAAAGTGAGGAAGATTGGACGCTTCGCCCCTGGGGCGCTGACGACGGCAGGCTGTCGAGAGATGGCAAGCAACCTCCTGAACTCAACCGGAGGCATCTGGGATCAGTCGGAGGGAGCCCTTCAGCCAATCTGCTGCCAGTATTTCAGGCAGGTGTTGAGCTCACGAGTGACTGGAGGTCAATCTCGGGAAGCACTTACCCTGAGCTGGTGCCTCGACTTGCTGATGCAAGGACGAGTAGCAGAAGCATCAGATGGCCTCATGCAGAGGTTGAAGGCCATCGAGATGAGCGCCCAGGGTGCGAGTTGGTCGATATCGCAGCGGATCGAGCTCGTCCCAGCGGAGAAGCCCATCATATCCAGCCGTGCAGAAGCCCGCGAAGCCATCAAGGAGTCCAAAGAGGAGAACCGGACTCGTGCCGAGGCCAGCAAAGGGAAGACCAAAGGAGATTGGGCCGGAAGTTGGCGAGAGCCACCTTGGCAACAAGAGAAAGGAAAGTACAAAGAAGGAAAGGGCAAAGGAAAAAAGGGCAAGGAAAGGGAGCAAGGAAAGAAGCAAGAGACGTGAGGCAGCGGGAAGGTCCCGCGATAGTCGAAATGAGCAGTCAGATGCAGCCTGGTGAAGAGGCCCGGGCGTTTTTCTCCGACATCGGTGTGGTGGAGCCTTCGTTAGGTTCATCCGCATCGGGTACAGAAGCCAAGAGGCGCCATTTAAAGGAGGTAGCCCTGGCAGAAGAGGCAAGTGTGGACGCCTTTGAGACCATCCCGACCTTGCGAAAAGTTTGCATGAAGCCGCCGTGCGGGGGAGAAGACTTGGTTAGTGTTTTTCCCTGGGTTACTTCCGTCTTAGTTGAAGCTAGCTCCAAGATTGAGTTGCCTTTGCAGTGCATGACCCAGCCCACGGGCGACATTTTTCCGTTGCCCACTGAGATGGGGGTGCTCAGGGAGACACTGCAGGTCTCAGAAGAGGTTGCCGTTGTGATTCGAGGTATGTCCATTGCCTTGAACTGCCTTTATGGGGTTGAGTTGAAAAACCCTTTCTCACCATCGGCTCTTCAGGTAAGTGTGCTGAGGTTCCTTGAGGGGCAAACCAAGACAGTGTTGGAATGGGGAGAGAAGTTTGAGGAGACATCATGGCAGGAGTTCCTGCAAGTAAAGACCATCGATTACTGTGGGGAAGAAGTTCTTTGCGCTCAATACACCACATGGGATAACCTTTCACCCGCCATGCCCGCAGAGATCGCTTCTGTCCCCTTGGCTGATGTGGTTGAGCTTGGATGTAGGCACTATGTCATGAATTTCGCTTCTTACGTTTTGCCCGAGGAGATGCAGAAGCCAATGAAGCCTCCTCGATTGATGATCAGTGACGAGGCGTGGCCCCGGGTGTGTGAAGGGTTGTTGGGCAATGGAGTATGCATCGCACTCAAAGAAGCCGAACTTTATCACGTGGGCGGACGACCCCTCCTAAACGGACTCTTTGGAGTCCCCAAGGGGGAGGAGCAAGGAGGACACCCCATCCACAGGTTGATCATGGATCTTCGACCGGCAAATCTCGTATGCCGGGGCATCGATGGAGACGTCTCCACTCTACCCACTTGGGCCACGATGAGCCCCCTACAACTCATGCCGGCAGAGGATCTGGTCGTCTCGTCCGAAGATGTTCGTTGTTTCTTTTATATTTTCCAGGTGCCTCGGGAGTGGTCGGTGTTCCTTGGTTTTAACAAACCCATCCCACGTGAGCTGTGGCCAGATGAGGACGGGCCCTATTTTCTGGCCTCTCAGGTGCTCCCCATGGGGTTTAAGAATAGCGTGAGCCTAGCACAGCACGTGCATCGGGCTATGGTGAGACGAGCGGGGGGACTAATTGAAGAAGGGCTCAAGCCAGAACAAGAGATACGAAAGGACAGGCCGTTCTCTTCATCCTCAACCCTGCACAGAATTTACCTGGACAACTTCGACTCCCTGGAGAAGCTGGACAAGAAGACAGCAGAGCTCCTGAAGGGGGAGCCTAGCGCTAGCCTTCTGGCGCTACGCTCGGAATATGAGCGGTGGGGGGTCCCTAGACACCCAAAGAAAGGAGTGGCTCGGTCCTTGAAAGCAGAGGTACAGGGCGCCATCATTGACGGTGTGAAGGGAATAGCCTATCCCAAGCCGGCAAAGGTCCTGAAGTACGCCCAACTGGGAAGTCTCCTGTTAGGGGAGAAGAGGTGCTCCGTGAAACAAATCCAGATTGTCGCTGGAGGCTTGGTGTACATGAGCATGTTTCGACGACCCCTGTTGGGCTCCTTGAATGCGGTGTGGCGCTTCGTTCAGGAGTTCAAACATTACCCCCCGGTGATCAAGCTCGAGATCCCCCATGAGGTCAAGCTGGAGATTGCCAGATTCATCGCACTGGTTCCCCTAGCACAGATGGACTTTAGGTTGGAGGTGAGTGCTGAGGTCACGGCGAGCGACGCTTCCACCAGTGGAGGAGGACTCACCCGGAGCATTGGCCTTACAGGGTTTGGAGAAGCAGCAGCCCGAGCCGTCGTGCGTGGAGACGTTGCTGAACCCTCTGATCTGTGCGCTGTCCTCACAGTGGGGCTCTTTGATGGGATTGGCGCGTTGAGAGTGGCAGCAGACGCGTGTGGGTTTCCCATCCTGGGTCACATTAGTGTTGAGGTAAAGAAGGAGGCCAGCCGTGTCTTGGAGAGCAAGTTCCCCGCTACGTTGTTTGTGGAAGGAGGTGTAGAGGCAGTGGACGCGGAGATGGTGCGTAGCTGGTCAGGAAGGTTTTCACAGGCCTCTCTTGTTCTCCTCGGAGCAGGGCCGCCCTGTCAGGGCGTGAGTGGTCTAAACAGTGACCGGCGGGGTGCCTTGAGAGATCACAGGAGCTGTCTGTTCAGTCATGTTCGTCGCATCAAGGAGCTCTTGAAATCCCACTTTCCTTGGGCACAGGTCAGGTACTTGGCAGAAAGCGTGGCATCCATGGATCGCAAGGACCGCGAGATCATGTCACAAGACTTCGGTGACACCCCAGTGAAGATCGAGGCCAGTGGAGTATCGTTAGCCCGTCGCCCTAGGCTGTATTGGCTTGACTGGGAGCTGCAACCAGGTCAAGGTGTTCGCTTTCACCCGAAAGTTGACCACGGTATGGCATCATATCATGAGATTGAGCTGCACGCCGTGGTTGACCCCAAGGATTTCTTAGAGCCAGGGTGTGAGAAGACGTCAGAGGAGCCGTTCCCGACATTTACCACCTCTCGACCAAGGGCATGGCCAGGAAGGAGACCGGCAGGGTTGGAGGAGTTGAGGCCTGATGAGAGAGAAGCCTGGGAGAAGGACAAGTTTCGTTTCCCGCCATACCAATACTCCCATCGCTTGCTAGTCAGAGAAGGAGGCGGTGTGTGCCGAATTCCGTCAGTTCAGGAACGGGAGACGATCATGGGATTTCCTCGCAACTACACGGTTCATTGCATGCCAAAACAACAACAAGGAAGTGAAGCGCATGAGGATGAAAGAAAGTCCTTAATCGGCAACAGTTGGAACGTGACAGTGGTCGTGTGGCTCCTTTCGCAGCTTGGTCACCTACTGGGGCTATGCAACGCCAAGACACCACAAGAAGCAGTGGAGGCGACAAGGCCGGGAGCCGCAGTGACTGTAGGAGGAGTGTTGCAACGACAAGCCATGAGGCGCATAAGGCGCTCAGGCACCGAGGGGGAGTATGAGCTTGTCTCCAAACTCCTGAATATGGTCAGCCTAAAAGGAGAAGACATCATGATCCAGGCACCAAGTGAGGAGACACTTCGTTACCATCGGTTGAGGGCCAGCTTGCCATCCGCTCTGTGGAAGTGGAAGACAGTCATGGGATGGCCCTGGAAAGGATCACCTGAACACATCAATGTGCTCGAGATGAGGGCGGTGCTCACTTCACTCCGCTGGCGCATTGTGAAGAAGAAGGCCTTGCGAACGAAATTCGTGCATCTAGTGGATAGCTTGGTGTGTCTCCATTCCCTGTCTAGGGGACGCAGCAGCAGCCGAAAGCTTCGTCGAACGATGAGTCGGATAAATGCTTTGCTCCTTGCCAGTGGCTCGCATGGCGTGTGGGCTTATGTTCACACGAAAGAAAACCCAGCAGATGCGCCGTCGAGGCGCCCCGTGAAGAAGAAATGGTGAGTCATAGCAAGGCATATGTAGAAGGCAAAGACAAAGCATCCCGACAACAACAGAGGCGAGCATTAGGGCCCCTGCGTCACCTAGCTGTTCAACCAGCCACCCGAGCACGATACGACAAGGCACTTGAGAGATTCCGCAATTTCCTTCGAGAAGAAAGCAGAAGATTTCCAGATGATCCCGCGACACTTGACTTTTGGTTGAGCCACTACATTGAATTCTTGTGGGAAAGTGGAGAAGGCCGTGCTTTAGCCTGTGATTCCATTGCTGCAGTCCAAGACTACCGTCCATCGGCCAAGGGGAGGCTCCCATCCTCCTGGAGACTAATGAAGACATGGTCCTCCACAGAGATTCCTAGTCGTGCTCCTCCACTTCCCACTGAAGCCTTGGATATCCTTGTCGGCTACAGCCTGTTCAAGAAAGATGACCTCTTCGCCCTCTCTCTACTGCTAGGGTTCCATGGACTCCTTCGGACGGGTGAACTATTGGGTATAAAGAAGGCACACGTAGAGCAGAAAGGACCACGGAGTGTGGCAATAGTATCCCTAGGACTGACCAAAGGTGGAAGGCGGCAAGGTGCGGCTGAAAGTGTCACGATCCGTGAGGAAGATACTTTGAGACGCCTATGGCAGTGGAAAAACACCCCAGGTTCAAGGCCTTCACTATGTGAAGCTGCCCATGTCTGGCGAAAGAAGTTTTCTGAGTACTTGGACGCAACTGGGCTCGGTGAGCATTCTTTTAGGCCCTACAGCCTGCGAAGGGGAGGTGCCACCTCCTATTTTGCTAAACACGGGTCGCTAGACAAACTGCTCATAGCAGGTAGATGGCAGGCGGCAAAGACCGCGAGAATATACATTAATGAAGGACTTGCCATCCTGGCAGAATTTCAATTGGCAACCAATGCTCAGGCTAAAGCCTTTCGAAGACAATACGAAAGGTCCAAATCTTTGGAGCTCCAACCCCTTGAGCATGCCCGAATGGGCAGGGCTGGGGGAACTGGAAGGAAGTATAAGAAACCCAGGAAGTAAACTTGTTTTGAATTCGAACACCGCCGGCGGTATAAAAATGCTTGACAGAACTAAGGAAAGGGGGGGTGGGGGCCTGGACGTTCCCCGGTGTGGCGGGGCCCAGGACA